ACACACACACAGATGATAATGTCTGCTGGGACAGAGGTCCTCCAAACTACGGCAAGAGAAGCCCCAAAAAGAGGTTCTATCATGTGGGAGAAGGGGTCAAGTATACGTGCAACGAGGGTTACACCCTAACGTCAGGATACACCAGGGAAGTAAGGTGCACGGAAGAGGGTAATTGGGAATATGACAAGCCCGGCTGTTCAAGTAAGTTTTAAAAAAGTCTACAAATCGTTTAGCCAGTTCAACAACAAAATCAATTTTTTGAACTTGTGCTAAGCAATTGGCGGATTTCCATAAAAGATAAACAGTTTAGGACAAAAACGCCCTGCTGTTATTTAACTTCCGTTAGCAAAACAATTAATTAGGAGTTTGTTTCTCCTATAACGCACCCTTCGAAAACAGGTCTTTTGCGTAAATTCTCAGCTAATAGGATTCGTTCTGTGCCCTAAGCCATTTAGAGACGAGGACAATCTATTGTAACATTCATTTAACCCTACCTAGACCGGGCTTTTTTTTGGCATGGGGGGACCGGGGAAAGCCTAAAATACATTTTAAACATACTTTGGAAAAAGAAATGGAAGTATTGATGAAATGAAAATATTAATGAAAATAACCCGTATATACCTGTTCTAATGATATGGTCCACCATCTTGGATTTTGGCCAATCAAATTAGCATAAATTATGCATATTTCATAGTAAAATTAACATAAAATTTTATGGGATGTTATTAATATTAGAAACCATGAGTAACTTAACATAAAACCCATAAAATTTTATTGTTGAAACAAAAAGGACTAAATTTAGCAAAAAATCCCTGTCAGAAATCCGTTGCCATGGCAACAAAAAAACTTTATCTTAATTCAATGATTAAGAATTGTTTCCAACAAAATTTTAGGAAAAGTCGCAAAGTTTGGCCGTTCTAGCGGTATCCGTTCAGATGCTAGGTGACATCAAAGTTGGCGCGGGCACTTTTAGCCCCCCCCCCGGTCTAGGTAGGGTTAAACAATTGGACTGATTTTTTATGTCCTTGATGTGCGTAGAGCAAGACCATGGATGATTAGCATTTATCAATTAGCCTGTCAATTATTGCCATCATAACGATTGAAATTAATTTTATTATTGTTAGTTGATCATAGACGAAAGTTGCAAGAAGAGGTGCTAGAGATCTACGGTGCAGGTTTGGCTCCTGAGAACATCACCATCATCTTCAACGGATCTGTAGAGCAGATTGTCAACTTGGTAAGTACTATGGCTGCTATACATTTTAGATATCTGTTGTTTACCTACTTTAAGGATAAATGATAGTGGCAAAACTGTATTTTAACCCATTTTTAATTTTGTTTCAGGATGAAAAGAACGAGCAGCTTGTCACATCTGTTGTCATTGATTTCGTAAGTTGATACAGTCATAAAACCAAAACGCATGTTGTGTAAAAATTAGCCATAATTTTGTCATTAAGAAACGTTGTAGATATTCCTTCGTTACTTTCATTTGGAAAATAAATTGATATTTGCTTTAGAAATGGCGGGATAGTCGTCTGAGATGGAATCCAAGGTACTTTGGTGGCGTCAAGGCCCACAGCGTTCTGGGTAGCAGGATTTGGACACCGACATTCACTGTGAAGAGAAAGTACGTAGTCCTTCTTGAGCTCAATTAACCGAATTGAATTAAAGTTAATGCAGGTTGAATATCTTGTTATGTGGTCTGCCAGTCACCTTATTAATCAACTGCCAAAACCAGCTCCCCATCTACTCGCAACCGTGGCCATGAGACAGGATACATACAAACCTACCTGCACGCCAACCCAAACAATACTTTCGTACCCAGTAGTATTTTTAATGGCAACCGCATAGGATTTGTGTAGGTAAAATATGGCAATGTGTCCACTTCACAGTGCCGACGTCACCTACCGAGGCCTACAACAAGACGTACCTGTTCGAGTTAGCAGTGATGGGCTGGTAGTCTGGAGTGTAGAAGCCCTGACAACCACCGTGTGTGATGCAGACCCCTTCTTCTTCCCTGCAGACACCATGGAATGCCACATCTGTTTTTCTGCACACACTGCTATTAAGCAAACCATTAGTAAGCCCTTTTACCTTTGCCAAGAAGATTATGCTTTCCATGTGCGTGTGTATGTATCTGTGTGTGTGTGTGTGTATGTATGTATGTGGTTTAGCACGATAGCTCTTTTTGTGCATTGTCATTTATCTACTATTTGACTACAATTTGGGCTCCCTGTCGGCTTGTTATAGTACTGTAGCGGAACGTCCAGTTATAATACCTCGCGATCCGGACATGCCAGGATCATGGATTTTGTGCTCGGAAGAATAATGTGACATAAATTTGAGCCATCTAGCAGCTTGGTCTGATACTGCAGGAAGATTTGTGTGAATATCTTCGAGGCTGATAATTCAAGAACCGGTTGTCGGATCGTCGTCATTTTTATCATTTAGGTAGTTTATGTGGTGCTTCCCAAAATTAGATAACAATTATGCAGGAGCATTGCTACAATAATATTATGTAAATGAAGACCTAATTTGTGTAAAGAAATGAAAAAATGCTATATT